GATTAAAGCATGTTCAATATATTTTTTCAATTCTTAAAATGATGATATCTATTTTTTCTAAAAATTCTTTAAAAATTTCATGAAACATAACTATTATTTTTAAATCAATCGAACCTGATCAGTTTTGATTCTTAAATATGTATATATAAATATTTTGGTATTCTATTTTGGTTTTATATATATAATTATGTTGGATTGCCGACGTCTCAACAGAATTTTTGAAGATGAACAAAAATTTGAAAATGATCTTTAAATAGTGGCATGTTTGAAAAGACAGAAACAGAGTTCTCCTGTTGAGCTATTTTTTGACTACTCAACATCAAAAATTTTTTCTGTTTTTACTATTAAAAGTCTTTTTATTGTTATTGCTATTTGGCGTTTGTCTCTACTAACAAAAAAATCAAATCAAAAAACAAAAAAAATATAATTTAAGTTACCTCCCTTTTTCTCAACAAAAATTTTAAATTGACTAAATGGAATTTTAACAGACATGTTATATCGTTAAATACAAATGTGTTTCAACAGTTATAATTTTTTATAAATGCTACCAATTACATTAATTTTTTGTCTTATATATATATATATATATATATATATATATATATATATATATATATATATATATGAAAAAATATAAAAAAAACAAACAAAATCCTAATATGCGATTATTCTTTTTAATGTTTAATGTCAACGTCGGACGTTTCGGTCTAATAGACCATCTTCAGGACATATTCAAAAACATAATTAACATAGACCATATATAATTCAACATTAAAGACGATGGACATAAAAAACAATACCAATCCAAACAGATAAAAATCTTTTTATAAGATCCTGAAGTTCCGTTTAAATATGATCATTGTCGTCAATTGTTTGATTACGAAACGAATTCCTAAAATTTGAACGTATTTTGAATGAAAACGAAAAGAATTTTATTTTGATCTAAAACTTATATGTATATTTGTTTGATTAATTTCTTTCATAGAAAAATATAAATATTATCTAGTTTCTATATAAATGATGACCTAGATATTCCTGTTGTGAAAGATCCTGATCCAGTTTTGATCTTAAAAAATCTTCGGTTCCTAAATGAATTTCAAAAACGTATTCATTGTTTAAATTTCTCTCGTTTTTTGATTTTATTGGTTTATTTTAGAATATTTTTTGAAGATGGAAGCCAGATATGAATTTGGTAGATTAATGAAGGGATGAATGATTTTTTTCCCTTCACCATTCCTCATTTGAGAAGACGCAAAACGATTTTATCCTGTTCGCTTTTTAGCTGAATAACTCAAAGGTTTTTTCAGTGATTCTTACTACGAATGGTGTCAATAGGACTAAACGTTTTGTCTGAAAGCCTAGAAAAAAGAAATTCAATTAGTCTAGCTGATTTTTTTAGAGATTAAACATTTTACAAATTATTTAATATTAAATCGCAAATAAAATAAAGTTTATAATTTTTTTAAAGTGTTTTACGAACTTTATGGACAAAATGTATATATATATATATATATATATATATATATATATATATATATTATATGACAATATACTGAAAAAAAACAAAATCCCTAATATTTTTTTATACTTTTTTAATGTTTTTATGTCAATAGCGTCGGACGTTTCGGTCTAATAGACCATCTTCAGGACATATTCATAAAACATAATTAACATAGACCATATACATATAATCAAATATGAAAAAGACGACGGACATAAAAGCAATACCAATCCAAACAGATAACAGAAATTTTTTTATAAGATCAGCGTTCCGTTTAAATATGATCACGTCGTCGTCACGTGGGCGATGTTGTTAAACGTATTCCTAAAATTTTTTTAATTTTTGTTGAAAACGAAAAGAAATTTTATTTTGATCTAAAACTTATATGTACGTTTGTCGAGCATTAATTAAAACCAATACAGGAAAAAAAAAATTATATAAAAATGGTATTCACCGTGCGTTTATATGGATATTATGTTAACACAATCATAAATTGAAAATTTTATTTCACCAAAATATTTTAAAATCTTCACAGAATCTAAATCGAAAAGGGGCCAGATCAACTTTAATTGTGTAAACAATCTATAGCATTGTTTAAATTTCCGACGTCGAATATCTCGTTTATGTTCGAAAAACAGAACAATTACCTAAATGTTTCACCCAAGATATTTTAAGTCACAGTTGTTGCATGAGATTTGGTAGATGAAACATCGGATGTAATATGTTGTTTGCTTTGCTATTTAATAAACTACGGATAGTTCTAGTACATAATAAAGTAGTTTTGATTTTTAACACATTTAAATTATTGAAGATCCGTTCGGTCAAATTGTTATTTGGTAGAAAATTCTCAACGAAAAAAATTATCAGGGGCAGCTGAAAATTGTGCCTTTCACTGATGTAGTTGTAGTAAACATGCCTTCATTCATTATTTAATATAACAGACAACGAATGTTTATTATGTTTTATCACGAACCTTTCCAAGCGTCGTATAATGGCTATTGTTTCAAGAGAAAATAAAGTCAAAAAACTGTCCAATATTACTCATCGATCTAAACTTTCGGTTCACATGAGGCATTATCAGAGTGATTATATGGACAATACAACAGAGATGATCACCATCAAAGATGACATCCTGTTTTGTTTTGTTTTTACATAGAAGTTTTCTATGCCACGATAGCCGTCGCGGAATAGCAGACGCAGATCGTAAATTTGTAATGCGGTTCTATGTCGCCGTACACGACCACGTGAGAGAAAGAAATGTTATCAACAGGACCATATGTTTAAATGCATTGTAATATGTTGTGACTGGTTTGAAATGTAATTTTGTTGAGTGTGGGTTGCTTTGTTTTAATGTAAATGGCATCCAGTATCTTAAGGTTCTTTTCATTGTGTATATGTGTGAGTATTGATGTGTTATCAACTAATATCTGTCTAATATTATGTACATTGCTATGTTTTTCTAAGAAATGTTGCTTAATGGGACTAAGATCAGAAATGTGACAGGTCAGTCTGCGGGAAAGCGTAATTGTAGTAAAACTGTCATTTATTTTCATTTGATAAGTTTAATAAAAGAGACAGCAAATGTTGTGACCAAGGCTTTAGGTCTAGTGCAAGGGTTCATTCGGAGTAGTTATCACGGAAGTAAACAAGTATTCTCAATTCGTCAGCGGCCAATGAAGAAGTGGCTAAAGTGCATAAAGATTTGGAACGTCGTGCTGAAGACGTCGTTGAAAAGCCAATTGCAGTAATCAGTGAAGTATTAGTAAAATGTATCTCAGGTTACACTGGGATCATTACGAGATGCTTCAGCTATGTGGAAAACGATTAAACCCAAAAGGAAAGTCGTAAACGCTTTCCCATCAGATCCTGTAGTTCTTTAAGAGTTAGAGTTGCAGCAACAATCCAAAATTTACGCTCCAGTAGGAGGAAGAGTAGAACATTTTATGATCTGTGATCGTCGCCCTGGATTACAGAGCAATTAAATGGAGGTTATCCCCTCCTTCTGAATTGAAAAAGTCTATGAAGGCAGATGAAAGAATTTTACAGATTGTTTCTTCTTTTTCAACGATCTCTAACTGAATATTTGAGGGGAATGGCATACAGTTTTCAATAAATATTTAAATCAAAATAAAGTCATGTATTAAAAAGTTATCCTTAACAAATTATTTTTAATTGTTTTTTTTAAAAAGTTATGTTCTAAATAAGGTTTTTAATAGAAGATTTTTATTTGGTTTTAAAAGATATGTTTTAATATGATCCTTAATAAATTACTTTTATTCCGTTTGAAAAAGTTATGTTCTAAAAAAGATCTTTAATACAACATTTATTTGGTTTTAAAAGATGTTTTAAAATGATCCCTAATAAATTACTTTTATTCCGTTTTAAAAAGTTATATTTTAAAAATGCTCTATAATAAATACTTCTATTCGAGTTGAAAAAGATATTTTTAAAATGATCTTTAATAAATTACATTTATTTTTTTTTTAAATATATGTTTTAAAATGATCCCTAATATAATACTTTTATTCCGTTTTAGAAATATATGTTTTAAAATGATCCCTAATAAATTACTTTTATTCCGTTTTAAAAACTTATGCTCTAAAAAGAGATCTTTAATACATTTATTTGGTTTTAAAAGATATATTTTAAAATGAAGCTTAATAAATTTTATTCCGTTTTAAAAAGTTATGTTTTAAAAATGATCCTTAATAAATTACTTTTATTGCGTTTTAAAAAGTTATATTTTAAAAATGCTCCATAATAAATACTTCTATTCGAGTTGAAAAAGATATTTTTTAAAATGCTCCATAATAAATTACATTTATTTGTTTTTAAAAATATATGTTTTAAAATGATCCCTAATAAAATACTTTTATTCCGTTTTAGAAATATGTGTTTTAAAATGATCCCTAATAAATTACTTTTATTCCGTTTTAGAAATATATGTTTTAAAATGATCCCTAATAAATTACTTTTATTCCGTTTTAGAAATATATGTTTTAAAATGATCCCTAATAAATTACTTTTATTCCTTTTTAGAAATATATGTTTTAAAATGATCCCTAATAAATTACTTTTATTCCGTTTTAAAAACTTATGCTCTAAAAAGAGATCTTTAATACATTTATTTGGTTTTAAAAGATATATTTTAAAATGAAGCTTAATAAATTTTATTGCGTTTTAAAAAGTTATGTTTTAAAAATGATCCTTAATAAATTACTTTTATTCGAGTTGAAAAAGATATTTTTAAAATGATCTTTAATAAATTATATTTATTTGTTTTTAAAAATATGTTTTAAAATGATCCTTAATAGATTACTTTCATTGGGTTTTAAAAAGTATTTTTTTAAAATAGTTCCTAAATAAATTACTTCTTTTAAAAAGTCGACGAAAATATAGTTTGCATGTCATTGGTTCGTTGTTCTTGAGTCGGCGGTGTTGAGTCGGCGGTGATGAATCGTCCTGCACGCTGTATTATTAACTTCTGTGTGCTTTTCAGGTCCAGTTGAGAATGAGAGCCCAGTGGGGGATCACAACATCATCAGAATAGAACGGACATACAGGTCAACCCTTTGGGGCTTGGCTGGGTCCCTTTTCATTCTTTTGGTTGCTGCTGTTATTGTACTGGTAGCTGTCTGCAGGTACTATAGGTAAGTTAAACGCATTTTCTTTTTCATTGTTCTTTTGCTTTCCTTTATATTAATATTATGTGGTTGCTACTCGCCCCTGTTGTTGACGCTATTCTTATTTTTCTTTTTTTTATCTTTTCCGATTTTGTAAATGACTGTCTTTAGTATATATATATATATATATATATATATATATATATATATATATATATATATTATTATTATTATTTTTTTTTTTTTTTTTTTTTTTCAAAAAATCTATTGCTGGTAAAAAAGTTTTTCAAAAAAAATTTACTGGCATTAAAACATATTTATATCCTTTCATAGTATTTTGACCCCTTTTGGGGGGTTAGCTATTTGGCGAGAGCCGGAACCCTAACAGCTGTCACCACCCCGGGTCAGGCTGGACCTGGGAACACCAGCAATTAAGAGGAGTTTCCATGTTCCTCTTGATCCGAAGGCTTTGGTGTCGGGCGTAGTTTATCGTCTTACCCAGGATGATGTTGTTTTATACTAACTGTAAAGGACTGTCTTTAGTATATATATATATATATATATATATATATATATATAACAAAATATAATTTCATATATTAAAAACAAACAAATTGTAAAAAAAGGTTTTGTAACATGTTTCGTCAGTTAGGATTTTATAGGACAGTGCTTAATTTATCGAGACTGGAAAAATATTATTTCAAAGATATTCTTTCAAACATTTTGAAACTACCAGCATATCTCGTTTCGTGCACATGTGAAGACGAGGCAACTTTAACAATTCCAGTCCGATGAAAACCCAACCGATGAATATATATAAGCGTTCTAGCCATCTGAAGATCCCGAGAGCGTGAAATTTGCGTCCCAGCTCGAGCTATCCTCAGTTAAGGACTGACTATGGGAAGCGTTGTAGCTCTATCTAGGCAATCTGGGCGTTGAGCACTTTGCTGCGCACGTTGGTGTTTGCTTTTCGGTCTTTCATACTTTTTTTCATTCTTTGTTCGGGTTTTTTTGTCTATGTTAGGTCGTTTGACAAGTTGTCTGTTGGTCACACCAACATAGTTGTCTTTTCTTTACACACACACACACACACACACACACATACACACACACACACATATATATATATATATATATATATTAATAAATTTACATTTTGGGGGTGAAAAAATGTATATAGTCCAGTTATATTACACCCAATAGTATTTTTTTTTAGTACCTTCACTCATATATATATATATATATATATATATATATAAGTTAAGTAACGAAAATCTTGGTAATCCGTATGAATAATCCCAAGTAGCATGAAATTCGGAGAGCTCATATATATATATATATATATATATATATATATTTATATATGGAATTTAATAAAATATATATATATATATATATATATATATATATATATATATATATATATACACACATATGGAATTTAATAAAACATGTTTTATGCATGCATATGTGTGTGTGTGTGTGTGTGTGTGTGTGTGTGTGTGTGTGTGTGTGTGTGCATAAAACATGTTTTATTAAATTCCATTGACAAGGTCTACCTATTCAGTTTTTGATTATATCTTTTCAGTTTCCGAATGAGGTATTGTACATCGGGATTGAAGTTATGAATAAATTATCGAAAGTTCGTTATTTTTTTTATATTCAAGTACTTTTGACTATCTTAGACTAGACATCCGTTTTTGGTGGAAATTAATAAAACTTATGTGGATGAATTCTTGCTGCCTAATCACACCTGTCTTTCTCTCATCTGATTGCTACCTGGGAAGCAATAAGAGGAAGAGAGTTCCACTGACTGGAAGTGCGAGAGAAGAAGCTATTGGAGTAAAAGGGACGGTTACATTTAACTGTTTTGACAGTAAAAGTGTGGAATCGAGATGCCAGCCTCGTAGCACTCTTAAATCCATCCAATTGAAGCACCAGTGAAAATAACTCGTTAGAGCTATTGCCCGGGAAATATTTGTAGAAAAGACAGAGGGAAGCCATATCACGTCTGTGAGAATGTGACTTGAGTCGATTTGCCAGGCCAGGATCTATCACATTGTATATCCATCTTTGGATTTTGTCAAGACTCACGAGATGAAGAGAGAGGTCACTAGACCATGTATGGTTACAATAATCAAGGCAAGGATGAATGGTAGATTTGAAGGAATCTGCTACAAAATAAAATGTGAAATCAAATGACACAAAAATTAAAATAACACTGACATCTCATTTTAATAGATATATTTACCAAAATTACTCAAAAATATCTTGAAATATTAACGAATATATTTATTCAATGATATCACCATTGGTGTCAACAATGGCCTCCGAACTACTTCAGAATCTCCTGCAACTCTTCTGGACGGTCTCCTTGTTTAAGTTGGTGAAGGCTGCCATAATGCTTGCCTCTAGTTCATCTTCTGGTGCTTGATCAAATTAGTCATCTCCCCCTGGACCAGTTGTAAAAGAATATGCTCCACCATGTTTGTTTTTTTCTCTTTAAGCATTTTACCCCAAGCAATGCAGGATTGCCACTAGTATGCAAAGGGTTACAGAGAGTGAAAGTAAGAGTAAATAGGGAGGAGTTACAGGGAGTGAAAGTAAGAGTAAATAGGGAGGAGTTACAGAGAGTGAAAGTAAGTGTAAATAGAGAGGAGTTACAGAGAGTAAAAGTAAGAGTAAATAGAGAGGAGTTACAGAAAGTGAAAGTAAGTGTAAATACAGAGGAGTTACAGAGAGTGAAAGTAAGAGTAGAGAGGAGGTACAGAGTGTGAAAGTAAGAGTAAATAGAGAGGAGTTACAGAGAGTGAAAGTAAGAGAAAAGAGGGGTGTTTGAGGAAAGGATAAAGAGGATGGAGATCAAGATCAAGGCATCAGATGATGATGGCATTACATTTTAATAGATAGATAGATAGATAGATAGATAGATAGATAGATAGATATGATTTTTTTCCTTAAGCATTTTACCCCAAGCAAGGCAGGAGTGCCACTAGCATGCAAGGGGTTACAGAGAGTGAAAGTAAGAGAAAAGAGGCGTGTTTAAGGAAAGGATACAGAAAAGGAAGGGGATGAAGATCAAGATATCAGAAGATGTCAATTGACATTACATTTAATTGTTTGAAGATTATAGTAATCAGGGAAGCAAGTAAGAGGAAGGGAGTTACACTGTCGGGAAGTGCGAAAGAAGCTGTTGGAGTAGAAGAGATGGTTACATTGAACTGTTTCGACAGTAAAAAGGTGGGACTGAGATGCCAACCTAGTAGCCCATTTAAATTCATGCCGTTGGGGAACCAATAAAAATAGCTCATCAGAGCACTTTCCATGAAAATATTTGTAGAAAAGACAGAGGAAAGCCACATCATGTCTGTGAGAAAGTGGATGGTGTCAAGATGCCAGGTCGGGACCTATCATATTGCGTATCTGTTATGGGGACCTACCTTCATGGACAAAATAGACTCGTCTTATGACTATGCCTCGCAAGAGGACTGTAGACAGAAGACGAGTTGACTACTGTACTTAGCCGTCAGACGGACATGCAACATTTCTGTATTCGTTCTTTTTGTTAATAATACGTTTTCATTGAATTGCTGAGTTCGAGTTTTCTTTCGGACCTCTTCCGGGTCCACAACAATATACGTCTTTGGATTTTGTCTAGATCCTCGAGATGAACAGCGGGGCACCAGACCATATATGGTAACAATATTCAGTTCAGACGAGAAAAACCTTCTAACATACGACACAGAGACCTAACTTTCCTTTCATTAGATGCAGCAATTGATTCAATGCAATTGTTTCATATCAGGTCAGTGGAAAACATGATACGAAGAAGTCGCAGCGACACGCTCTCCTGAAGCTGAGCATCAGCCATTCTGATATGAGGCAGGGAGGTTTCTCTATGGTGGGTAAATGAGAGCAGTTTCGTTTTGGAGGCATTAAAATTTACAACCCATTTCCTGTCCCAGTCCATCACAGATTGGAGGCCCTTTTCGAGACCGACGGCCAGGTTAGCTGTGTCAGCAATGCCAGATTTCCTATTGAGACAAATGGTAGTGTCGTCTGCGTAGATGCCTCTCTGAGATCTGATGACACCAGGAAGATCATTGATGAAGATCAGAAACAGTATAGCACCCAGGATAGAGCCTTGCTGAACACCAGTGTCCGTATCCCTGAATCGTACGTAGGAAGCCAGTATGCCAAACCCTATCAAATGACTGAGAGATATCTAGAGCCACAGCTAGAGCTTCGTTATTATCAAGAGCTTGGTATACAAATTCAGTTATGGCTGTAAGAACATCAGCGGTAGAACGAGCAAAGCGAAAACCATATTGTTTGTCAGTGATTAGATCATGGGATGTAAGGTGTTTAACTACTTCGGCATTGATTATAGCCTCGAAGACTTTGCTGAAGAGTGATAGGAGACTAATTGGAAGGTAGTTAGATAGGTCAGAAGGGTCCGAAGTGTTCTTAAAAACAAGGACAACAGACGAAGACTTCTAACAAGAATCAGCGTAGCAATAGTTATATAGTTTGGAGAGAACTGGAGCCAGCTCAGGAGCACATTTCTTTAACTACAGCTGGTATCCCGTCACCACCACTTGCTTTATGACAGTCTAATTTAGAGATGATGTCCAATACCATCGACATGGTTGTGCTCATCTCACTCAACAGAGCCTCAGTTTTAGGGGAAAATCAAGTGTGGTTACTACGGACGAGTTGAGTGTTGCGTTGGAAGAGAATTTCCGAGCAAAGCATTCAGCCTTATCAGCTGAGGAAGTTGATTGAATAGGAGAGGGATTGTGGATTTCCTGTTGCATAGCCGTCAATAATCCTTAGAACTAAACTTGCCAGATGCAATGCGTTGTTTCATTCTATCAGCAAATAGTAACTTTGCTTCATCTTTGACCTCATTAAAAGCAGAGACATGGAGACGTCTGTTGCTTTCAGACATGTGGCTTCGGGACAGACGGAAGAAGTGATTCCTATGGGCTATAGCAGCTGAGAAAGCATCTGAGAACCAAGGAGCTGAGC